CATTCTGTTGAGTCTCACCAGATTGCAAATCTCCCATCTTCTGTCAGGGTTGTTGAGGAAGGAGGTGCCTACTGCATGGGGTGGTAGGTGATCTCTGGTAGTTTAACGACTTCTCAAACAGACTTTCAAAGAGTCCTTTTCTCTTCAGCCCTACCCTTTATTCCTGTCTTCAAAGGGGATCTCAGTTGGTACTTCTAATTTCTGAGCCTTCCTAGAGTTTTGCAGGGCAAACTGACCTTCTTTTCATTGGCTCCTTCTTCTGCAGGATTTACATTTCAGTGTTACTTACTCTGTAGAGTTAGTCAAGGCTCAACTAGCTGTTTTCTATATTTTACTATTTTTTCACTTTTCTCATCTCTTTTCTCATTCTCCTAATTTGTCCTTGGGTGTTTATACCCTTTTAAATTCACTTGCTATCATTTTAAGTGGTTTCAGAAGGGAGTGGGGGAAAACAGCTGTGCTCAATACTCCATGCTTAACCAAAAGTCTTGCTTATTGGTATGTGTTTTTACTTAGCATTAATATTTACCTTTAGGCTGCAACAGTTACTATTCCAGCAACATGTTTACTGGTCACTGCTTTTATTCTTATCAATTTTCTAAGTCTCAATCAAAACAGAAACTGCTATTGGAAAAAACAATGGCTTGTATCCTTAAAATACTCCTCTCCCCTCCTCCTCGATCATCATGATCATGATGCTGATCATCATCAATACTTACTGAGTTTAAGCAATGAGATGGAAACATTAAACTTTCACCATTTAATCTCCACAACAGCATCTGAGTAGATACTAGCACAACACTCACTTTACAGGATTGAAAAACTAAGCCTCAGAAAGCTTGAGACAGTTGCATGAAATGACAAACAGCAAATAGCAGAAAAGCATTTAAACTTCAGTGGTTGGTCGCTAGACAGGTTCCATAGGCGTGGGGAAGAAGTTCTGATGAAAGAAGTCTTATAAATCACCCAATCAAATGACATCTGCTATTTTGTACCCATACTTAGGGTGATCGTATTGGGTCAGCTGTGCAAATGACTGTATCAAATGACAACATCTAGAATGGAGGCTCAATATGAACTCAACACCAGTCTCTTGAGTCAGGTAGCAAATTCAAGCTACAAAACCAACGGATGGTGAACTCAAGCTAAATTTTCCAACACAGCGACTTGCATGGGACCTTTCTTCTTCCAGACCCAGAGTGCAAAGACTTTGCTGATTTTGTTTACCCCTTGATAGAGTTAAAGGGACTACACCAATGCCTGGGATAGAGCCTGGCACATCATAGGTGCTCAGTAAACATGAGGTTCCTTTCACTTGGGATAAGCAGAGATAACCAGGGGTGCACCCAGGTAACCTGGGAGCACGATGAACTAGGCCTGGAAACCAGCCTGGGCTCCACTTTCCAAGCTGTGTGCTCCGGTACACACTGTATTTACATGGAGAACAGGGTGCCATTTTCAAATCCACACACATGTGGAGCACAGGCTAGCAGTGGCCCAGCCTGGGAGGACATTCTGGACACATGTGTCCCTGAAATTGAGGACAGGTTAGATGCACTTTCAACAAGTAGACTTTCAACACGTGGAGAAGTAAAGACTTTCATGACCCGTTGCTGGCAACGCTCGACCCACCAACGTTCCCGTGCAACAAGACGTGACACACGTTGTATGCTCTGCCTCACAGCTCCCGGGACTGGGGTGGTGGAAAGGTCACAGACACCTACAGCTTGACGGACACTCAAATATATATTTCCCAAAATATTTTTATTTTTGCCCAGTACCTACTCCAACATTGTCATTTTATAGAAGACTTTTTCAGGCTTTGTTTAATAAATAACAATAATGATTGTTTTGAGATTGTTGGCTCTTAATACAGTTCCGGGAACTAGTTAATTTGAGCCTTGCCAATGTTTTCCATATGTCTATGTTTCTATCAATTTGCCTTATCTTATAGTATTTCTTGATGCTGCATTGCTGTTGGTGTTTGAGGTAGGGCAGTTCTTCCCTGGGGAAACAGTGTGCAGCATTGAGGGATATGAGTAGTCTTGGTCCTTTACAAAAATGCCAGGAGTGCCCCAAATCCGTGAGGCACTGAGGCACTCCCCAGATTTCCAAATGCCTCCACGGGCAATGGTGTACCTGAGTTTACCACAAACGACAGATAGGTGAGATCTGAAAAGAGCCAGGACCTAACCTCACAAGACCCCCTAAAGAAAGCATGCCCCTGGCAGGGCCGATCAGCTACCTTCCGCCTGCACAGCCCCTCTTCTTTGCGAAACCACTTCCAGTACCTTAGAGGGAGTGCAGTGCGGAGATGGTAGGAAACTCTTTTTAGCATTTGGTTTCACTTCCTTGATGTTCTGTTTATTTTCAAAAGTGACATAGCTCCAAATCTGTCCTTTTGTCTGACAGTTATTGCCCTTACCTAGCACAGTGCAGGGGTGGGGGCATTATTTTGATTCATCCTTACAAGAGGTTTGCTAAACTTAAAAATGTTCACATTCCCACTTTCTAGATGAAGAAACCAAGGCTTTGAAAAGTTATGCTTGCTCAGAGTCCACTTTCAGATTCTTGGGTCTGTGTTCTGGCAATGAATTGTCTCCTGCTATGAAACTATTCTTTTTACAAGGCTTGGGGAAGGGAATGGGCATGAGGGGGTCAGAAAAAGAGGTTTCTTTTCAACGCATATACAGATCTTGTCCCCCAGGACACACACCAAGTGGCATCATCAATATTCAGCCTGTCCCCACCAGCTGGGGCTCATTTCAGATCAGTGGGGGTGGGGCGAGGGTGGGGTGAGGGTAAGAGACTTTGCAGGCAGGTTGCAGGAAGGGAGTGATTTGGCTGCTGATTGATTAATAAGCCAGCATATTGGATGGGCACCAACGCCAGCCAGAGACCCTGTTGCTGTCTGGAGAACTGGGCTGCTGATCCTCCCCGGCTTCGCTGGAAAAAATAAACACCACCACCAACATCCCCCCCAGGCCCCCCCCCACCGCTGCCCCCCAACAAACACCAAGACAAAATATCCTGGGGCAGGAAGGAAGACAGGAAACTGGCTGAGTGTCTAAGGAATCGGATAAGGTGGCTTGGGGCTCTGGCTTGGAGCAAAAGCAGACATGGCGCTCCATGAACACCATTCATTCATACATGCCTTCGTTCCCTATTTTTTGAGCATCTACCACCTGCCAGAATCTATTCTAGGTGAAGAAACAGCAACAACAGGACAAATATCCCTGCCCTCACAGGGCTTATATTCTAACGAGGGAGACAGTAAACACATTAATAAGGAAAATAATATATCAGAGAGAAGTGCTTTGGGCAAAAAGCAGCAGGGACAGGCGCAGAGAACTTGTGGGGAGTTTTGATTTTAAACAGCGATCAACGAAATCCTCGGGGAATGACATTTGATCCAGTAACGCCTTACTAGGCACTCTTTCAGCGTTTTCCGCTCAAAAACGTTTATGATTACTCCCATTTTACAGATAAAGAGGCCGAAGTTAAGGGATGCAGGGGTTTCTGGAGATCTTAGAGCCAGCACGTGGTGGAACTGAGGTTGAACCCTGGCTGCATTAAGCCCAGCCGCTGCACGCTTGGAGGTCACTGCGGATAGCTCACAAAAGGGGACTTGGGAGAGGGCACGTTGCCGGGTGCACACCAGGCCTCTGTGGGTACCCACAAAGCGAATGTGGTGCCACCCATGAGCAAGTGTGGGCGGACTTGATGGGTGGGGGTGGTGTGGAAGCTCTGGATCTTTCCTGAGCTGAACCCGGAGTCTCCCGGTCTGTGGCCGGGGAATTCCGTCACCCAGGGGCAGCGGCGGTGGGCCGGTGGGGGAGGGGACTCACTGCTGGGGTTGTCCTGGGACAGCGCCGGTCGGAACCTCACCCGCCGCCACCCCCTGGCCAGCTGCTCCAGTCAATAAGGCGAGGACCTCGCGGGCTCTCGTCGCCCTCGCGGTGGGGTTCGCCTGGGAGTTCCTACCAGGGCTGAGGAGGGTCAGGGAGGCGAGCTCTGGCGGGGCGGACTCGGAGCACCCGCTGTCGGTCCTCGAGAGAGACGCGCAGTTCGCGGAGGCAGGCACGCAAAGGGCTCGCGGAGCTGCAGGGAGCGCGGAGCCCCGGATACATTCCCAGGAGCGCCCCGGTAGAGGACAGAGTGGTGGGGGGGCGCCCGGCCGCTCTTAGGGGCCCGGAAGACCGGAGGGGACAGGGCCCGTGCACGGCAAATGAGTGAACTACGACGTGCTGAGTTAGAAAAGAGGCGAGCGCGCACTCAAGGAAGGCCTGGAGAGAGAGAGGGCGCGCTAAAAAGATGGGTTGCCAGAGGTAGCGCTGGGAAGGAAGAAGCGAGATGGGGCTGTTGACCCAGAGAGGGAGTGCCAAAGCATGGGCCCTGGGGTCAAGGAAAGGCCGTCGGGAGTCTCTGGGGGCCCTCACCGAGTGGCCGAGGCAGCGCCCTGGGCGCGGCAGAGAGAGGAACGGCTATTGCCAAGGGCCGGCGAGTCCAGCACGCTGGAGAGCGGGAGCCGGGCGCTGCAGGAGGGCACGGAGCGCCTGCGCACGCAGGGGACGCGGCGTGCAGTTGCTGGCCCAGGTGGGGCGCTTTGAGGTTCTAGACAAGCAGGTTGAGAGGAGTCCGACGAGAGCCCAGAAAGGTCGGAGGAGGCAGGGAGAGAGGCTGCAAACTCCGCGGCAGAATTTCTCCGAATTGGAGAGAGAGAGAGAGCGAGCACCCCGGGCGCTTGAACGAAGTGGAAAGCCGGCCTCGGGGAGGCTTGGTCAGGGCTGAGCACCACAAGGAGCGCAGAGGAGGTACAGCTGACTGAGGGGAGAGTTCCGAGGGCCCGAGAAAGGTGAGGAGGAGGTGTGGAGGACAGAACCCCGGGGCGCGCGGGACCCTGAGGAAGGGAACCGTGGAGAGCAAACTGGGTCCCTAGGAGGGCCGCAGTGCCACCCATGTGCCCCCTCCGTGGCCGCTCCTGGTCCTAATGCACTCACCATGATGGAGAAGACGAAAGCCACGATGTTGATGGGGTACGCGGGGCAAAAACATGAGACAATGGTGAGCCACAGGTAGTTCTTGGGCTTGGGCACATCCTCCTCGATCTTGTCATCTTCAGTGTTGGCCTCGGGACTGCTGTCCAAAGCCGTCTTGAAGTCCGAGCTGGGGGCGTACTGAGACATGGGCGAGGCCGGCGGCGCAGGGAGGGCAGAGGAGCGCACTGTCTGCGCGGTCTGTACCTCTGGCCGCCGGCTGCTGGCGAGCCTCTGTAAAGCCAGTGGAGCGAGGCTCGGGAGACGTGACCTCACCCCTCCTGCGTCCTCCGTTTGCACCCGCCCGGGCTCAGGGACCTGGGCCAAGAGCCTGGGCACAAGAGGGAGGGAGGGAGCAAGGAAGTGAGGGGAGGCGGCGGGGAGGAGAGGGAGCCTAGCCTGCCAGCCTGAGGGACTGAGGAAAGGCGCTCTTTGACGACACCCAGAGACCCGCTGACGGATGCCCAGACTCACTAGGGGAAGTCCGGAATAAAAAGGAGTTTCAGGGAAGCAGGAAGCAAAGCCCCTTTAAGCTGCAAACTGGCCGAAGAAAACCAGGCCTTTTTTCAAGCAGCTGAATTAGAATATGTTTAGACGGAGCAAGAGATGACCCAACCCTATCCAGCCAGCTACAGAATTACTGCTTCCTCTTGACTTCATCAATTTATTGTATGGTTCCCGAGGTGTATAAGTTGCTTCCCCTGCCCCAATCCCTTCTCCTACTCAGACCTTCCACATTGAGCACTAGTAATTTCCTCCACAGGTGGGCAGGGACCAAGGTGCCCGGCTTTGGGCCCAACCCTTTCCATGCTGCGCAGGGACCTCTGGAGAATGGAGCCAGGCAAGGGGCATGGCCCTCTTCTTTTTCCCAAGGGTGGAAACAAGGAATGCATCTCATCTCCGCTTTTCCAGCTATAGAGTCCCTGGATAGAGAAGCGGATAGATCTGACAGGTATAGACAACCCAGGTGAATAATTTCAATGGGGGGAAAGAGAAAGGGATCCACTTTGGGAACTAGAGTGAAGACAGCAATTTCATCAGTAACTAAGCAATTGATGCGAGGGGCTAGGGAGCAGAACTGAGACTTTGAATACAGACAGAGCTAGGAAATAGTCACATCGGAGTTGAATGACCTCAGGACATTCCCTTCACCTTGCTGAGCCCCAATTACTTCATCTAAAAAAGTGGAGTAACAAGAATCTCTGCCTCATAGGAACCCTGTGAGACTATGAGATTGCATCTCAAATCAGGTGTATCTAAGTGCCCAATAAATGTTGACCATTAATAGGAAACTTAACCTAAAATATAGTCATCATACAGCACCTCAGTTGTAATATCCATTTTTGTAAATATTTCATCACCAAAAATTCAAGATATGCTGAGTTGGCAGGGCCACAAAGAAATGCAAATAATTGTATCATGCACAGTCTCAAAAACAGTTGCTCACATCATCATACTCGAAAATATTAATCATCTTCTTGGCTTTCTCAGAAGATGAACTGATCGTCTGGGATGCTTCACTCATCTCAGGGGGCCATATTCATTTAGTTATCTGCCTCCCTCACTGGACTGCAACTCCCTGAGAGAGGGGACAGTCTTGCTCATCTGTGTGTCACCACCTGGCACATTGCCTGGTACGAAGTATGTGCTTAGCATAGCTTGTTGGGTGAACACATAAAGATGAAATAGTACCTTCTCCACTATGCCGCGTGGTTAAACAAGTGGGAATAAACCAAAAAATTAGATTCCTCTACTGAGTTCTCAACCCAGCCTTTGCATTGGCTGTTCCCTCTGCCTGGATTGCTGTTCCCCCAGCCTGTCACATGGATGTTCCTTCTTATTTCTCAGCTGTCAGCTCAAATGTCACTTCCTCAGAGAGAGACCTTCTCTTTAGATTATCTAGTGTAGGTCCCCATAATTAGTCTATATTTTCCCAGCTTTTTGTGTGTGTGGCATTGAACTATGTTTACTTGTTCACTGATTGTTCTTTTTGTGAGCCCTATAATTGCTCAGAGATGTATCTATGGCACTCAGAATTGTCCTGACACAAGGTAGGAATGCAAGAAATATTTCTGCAATGAATGGATCAGAATTACCTGAGAGTATTGCAAGAATGATTTTGAGATCTCAGCCCAGACCTACCTGAATTAAAATTTACCAGGGTGATACCCCATCAGAAATCCATATTTTCAATACCTGAGAAATCAGTATTTTTAGAACACTCCCTGGTGTTGGTGATACAACTGAACAATTTCTCAAATCCCAATATCATCTCTAGTTCTTAGGACGTAGTCGTGGATCTTTAGTTTGGAGATCTCCTCCTATGCCTCAAATTCAGCATGCCAAATGCGAAGGCTTCTCCCCCAAGGATCTGCTTCTCAGGCTTAGTCCTTGGCAAACGGGTCTGGCCCAGTTTTCCAATCTTCTCTTCTGTCAATCCTCTGCTCTCACTGTGCTCCAGTGACATAGGCCTTTCCCCGCTTCTCAAATGTGCCCAGCTCTTTCCCACCCCAAGGTTTTACACCCACTATTTCTTCTACCTGTATGGCTTCTCTTCTTATCTTTCAGGACACATGACCTCATGTATTGCTCCCTGAGAGAGTCCTTCCCTTATTATCCTATCTAAAGTAGCCTTCTACCTTCTTACTCTCCATCCCATTTCCCTGTTTATTTCTTTCATCACAGTTATCACAACCAGAGACTGTCTTGTTTATGTATTTGTTTACTATTCATTGTCTATCTCCCCCACTAGAAGGTAAACTCACAAGAGACAAGATTTATTTTTTCTGTTTGGCTTAACTTTGGTGTCCTTTGTGGGAAGTGTTCCTGGGCCTTAGCAAGTGCCCAACAGATAGCTGTTGAATCAATAAACTGCTTTTAGTAATCCAGCTATGGAAGTTGGAGGCATTATTCTTCTCTCTCCTCAAGCCACTACTTGAATGGTCCATCCAATCCTGTTGATTTCACTTCAAACATGATTCCTCACTCCATTCCCTCTCCCATGCCCTTCCCATGGCCAGTGCTCCAGTTGCAGATCTTACCAACAGTGGAAAGTTTCAGTGGGTGCTGTCTGAGCCATATTTGTGATCTGAGGCTGGTGAATTTAGTTGACTAAGCCCAAGGTTTGGGTACCAAATGGAATTTTGCTGTTTTAAGATCATCAACTATACTGTCTACTCCTACCTACTTGTGTCATCCAGGGAAATACAAAAAAAAAAAAAGGGTTATTGACTCAGCAGAACCCTTCTCCTCTGCCAGGAAAGCAGCTGATAAACACTGGTCCAACACCCTGGAATCACCAAACATTTATTGATTGTCTAGCATGTGCATTCAGTGCATTTCCCAGATGCATCATCTCACTTAATTCCCATGACACCATTGGTGAGGAAGGTGGAGATGTTTTCTTTTTACAGATGAAGAATCCAGATGAAGACAGGTAAAAGGTCTTCTGTAAGGTCTTTCACACAAGAAAGTGGAGGTGCCAGAATTTGAACCAGGTCTAAGGTACTTGTTCAGCTTGCAGGTCCAGGCAAAAGTGTTAGGTGGACATCTCTGAAGTTTGCTCAAGTTAATGTCTTCTGCTCAGGGAAGAGGGATTAATAGCTTGTTGACTGGACTAAAAAGTAGCAGTGAAATTGCAATGACTTGAAATATTTACAATTAAATGGAAAAGAAAGTGCCCACACCAGAAAGTGTGAGATATATGGTGCTGATTCTTGAGGGATGCATTAGGCCACTCAGTAGGGGCTTTCAGCTCTAATTTCCTGAGCTTCACTAATTTTCTCTTGAGAGGTCAGTTTATTGCTCTCAAAAGAACCCTGTTGGCTGATTGCTTTAATAATGTGGCACTACCTTCCCTCTTTAAAATGAGAGGAGAAAGTGACTTCCAAATAGCCAGTCTAGGAAAAGAAGAGGCTTATTGTAGTTTTGTGGATCCTGATGAAGCAACTAACCTTTATTGACCTTTGGGAAAAGTTTTATTTCCATGTAAAAGTAATATATACTCATTCATTTATGCTTTGAAGAGAAGCATAAATAAGAAGAGATATCACCTATATTTTACCACCCAGTGGTATCATTATAAAAATAGGGGTTATTCCAGTTCTTTCTGTATGTGTATACATTGCTTCAACACTATGAGGTTATATACAGTTTTGTTTCCTACATTTCTTACTCAGTGTTATGACTTAATATTTTTTTGCGTATTTTCATAGTCTGAATAATTTACCCTTGATTAGATGGATTATTTTGTATATAACCATTCTCTGATCATGAGGTATTTAGGTTGTTTTTAGTGGGTTTTATTGTTATTGTTGTTATGAAAAATGTTGTCGTGGACTTTTTTTGCACCCAATCGTCTGCATCTGTGATCATTTCTTCATGACTCATGATCTTACAGGGTATATGTCCATTCTTTGAAACGGCAGAGAAAACTCAGGTTGGCATTGGCAGGCTGGGAAGTTGTGTTATAAGATATGTACCAAAGGTAAAATTCAAACCGAGGCCAAGGAAACAGTCCCAGAATCAATGGACTATAGAAATGAGATGATGCAAACGAGACAAAATGAAATGGATTCAAAGAATGACTTCCCAAGCCATGTGGATCCCCAAATCTATTATCTTCAATGGGGTGATGTTGAATCTATGAGCATGTGCAGGAAATCTACGTTTTTCGATCTTAACCATGTCTAAGATTCCAAAACAGAAGGAAGATGGGAGGCTGGAAGAGGAAGAGGAGGTACTGAGATTCTGCTGATTAGTGAAAATGCAAGAGAAAGATTCCAGACCTTTAGGAATGGTAAGAGGTCGAGTGTATTTGCTGCCAAATTTTGCATTAGTCTCAAGTAGCAGCCTTTAGCAGTCATAAAGTAACTGCTGTGGTCTCAGGGGTTTACTACAACGAACAGTATCTTTTTGGCTAATATTATTAGCAAATCATTTACCTTTCCAGTTTCCAACAACTTTGATCCTTTCACAAGCTGGGGGGGATGCAAAACAGGAGAAAGAGGGTACAAGGGGAAACAGATCTGTACTGTAAATTTAAAAAAACTATGCCTTTTAACAAAACCACTTCAGGACAGAGAGACAGAAAACACAAACCCCCTCAGACTTAAAATACAGCCCATTTGCCCTCTGTTGTACCAGAGAAGAACAGCGCCCACGCGCCACTGTTCTTGCTAATGGGATGACGTATATACTAATATATTGACAACATAATATAATTGATATGTATAATAATGGTAATGTGTGTTTTAGACTATACTCTGCAATTCATGGATGAAC